TCATCAGGATGGCCAATCTGAAGAAAGGACAATACCTTAAGAGCCAATGAGCGCAGCCAAGCAAAACAGTGTAATCCTGGATTTTTTCGGAACTCTTTTGAAAATTGCTTTAATAATCCTTGAACCGATCAGAGTTAGCTTAAACACTCAAAATTTATAACCTACTCACGAGGGAAAACATTGACTGAATTTCATACGCCGGTTCTCCATTTTCCTTCGAGTTTATCCGTGCCCCACCTTAAACAAGATAGAGGGTGCAAATCGAATATGACCCACTGGATGCGAAATTGCACTTGCGAGAGGAAACTCAAATGTTTCGCGAAACCCTTCCCTAATCTAAGAGAGTCAATTTTGACCAGTATGGCAGGTAATTTAGTGTTAACAACTGGGTTGAAAACGTGAATAAGCCACCGTAAAGGGTAAAAAGGCTGACGTTTCGAGCGTTAGCCCTTCGTCAGAGGGCTAACGCTCGAAACGTCAGCTTTTTTACCCTTTACGGTGGCTAATTTACGTTTTCAACCCACTTGTGAACACTAAATTACCTGCTATACTCTCCCACCGACGCAGCACCAGTTTCTTTAGAAACTTACCCCTTTATTCATTTGACCAGTATGATTACGCATAAGTTCACACAACAAGTGCACAAATAACCTTTAATTACAATTCATATTAGAACTTATTAAATTTGGAAACAGCAATCGTTTTTTGAGTGCCAACTGACAAAATCTTTTTTTAATATTTACCTGAACAATCCCATACTAAACTTCTTCAAGAAAAACGTCAAAGTCCTAGTTCCTCAAGCTTGTGATACCCAAAACATAGCCATCCTCTTTCTTTCCTCCCACATTTGTTCTAATTGGCTACTGTAATGTGTTTTAGGAAAATGTATTCTACGTTTCCCACCTGAAAGGGGCAATTTTCTGATGACTTAACTCCTTCAGAAAGTATTTCTTTAATTTTTACGCTCGACGAACAATCTTGTTCAAATTTCGTGTTTTTTTAAAACTGGGTAACAAACAAAATTGAACGTTGCAACGCTAGCTTCTACCAAACAACACAGTAAATCCAAGTACCAGTATATAAATTATTATTATTTTTTCTTTGGGGGAAAGAACTTTGATTCTTTTCCAAAGTGTCTCGTTTCCCTTGTAAAACGAACACACGAAGACAAAATCCTACATTTCCTCTTGGCTGAATATTTTTCAATATAGGCAAATGACGTTTAGAAATGTTTCTCAATTTTCTGTTATTTAGTTTGATAATTTTTAAGAACGTGTAATCTGAGGAACCAAAGACGAAGTAACTCATTCATTGTTGCCGGAACTGATGCAATGAATTTAAAATTCTTAATAAAATTAATATACACTGTCGTTAAAAATGGGCATCATTCTACTTCTGTTTAGAATGCCTAGTTTTTCGTTTGACATCAATAGAGCTGATGCAGTTAGATTCTTTTGTATTTCACGTAAGTTCTTCATCGTCCAATTCTGTGTCGTCCGTGTTTGGCTGTTTTGTGTCCTGTTTTGTTTCATTCTCGTCGTGGTTATCAGACCCGTCTTCATTTTCATCGTCATCATTCTTCTCAAAATCGTCATCATTCTCCGCGTTATCGTCGTCCTCCTCTTCCTCGTCGTCATCGTCATCACCGTCATCGTCGTCTTCGCTGACCTCTTGTCCAGCCTGTTTCGCTAGTTTCTGCGTAAATGGGAAACGACAAAGGTTTTTCACCCTTTAACACCTTATAGTGACAGCATCTAAATTCTCCTTACCATATCACCCCTGAATCACATATTAAGGTCACTAATACAAAGGAAATGAACACCGATTAAAGAAACTCTTGATTGCCAAACAAATTCTACTTGCAGCAACTTAGGAAATGTAAAGAGAACAGTGTGGAGAATATGCATACTGATGTCAGTGTGGAAAGGGTTAATACGAGGCCTTACAGCATCGGTAAGAGTTGACTTTACGAGGCCCTTTTTACAGATTTCCATACTTTTAACCCTGTTCCTCCCAAGAGTAACAAAGATCAACTTTTCCTTACAATACCACTGCGCTACCAAAAGACAGGCAATGACGAAATATCAAGAATGGAATACCGTTTGATTCATCACCAAATTCTCAAACCTCAGTTGTTTAAAATAAATGCCTGAGAGTATGGAAAACTGACATTCAAATCTAAGAACGAAGGTGTCAAATGTAGTTACATTCATTCAAATAATGTCAAAGCCATTCAGGCAAAAAGAGAGAAAGAGCCTTTCCTTTCTCCGATATGTAACTTCGAGCCACTCTCAGATTTGAAGATTCTCTAGTTCTGGGCATGAATCTACATCACATATAAAATTACCTTATATTTCATAATTTTGTTATCTTGTTCAGTTAGCATAACCAAAAGATCTTCGTGTTCCTTTTCCAGATCTGCCTTTTCCTCTTTCATTCTGCTCATTTCATTCTCCGTGGTGGCTAATTTTTCCTCTAACAGTCTTATTTTGTCGTGGCTTTCCGTTCTGGCCTTCTCCAGCTCAGCTTTCACTTCATCTGTGCTATTCGTTGGCGTATCAATCCCCTCTTCTCTCTAAATATAATTCAAATGATGAAAAACAATGCAACTTTCAATAGAGATTGCATCTCAATGGGTTTTCCTTTGACCACATCAAATTTTTCTTTTGGTCACAGAAAACACTTAAGTGATGTCAGTTGTGTTGTTCATGAATTCGAATCTCGGTTAAAAAATTACTCGTAAGTCAGTGCAATTTTTCCCGTCTTTTTACTTACCATCACTTCCATTTCGTTTTCAAGTTCTGTGTTCAGATTTCTAAGCACGTCTAACTCCTCTTGCTGTGATACCACTTTTCGCTTCAGCTGTTCTAATTCTTCTAGTTGCTGACTTGTAATGCTCAGAGGTACTGATGGGAATTCTGCAGCTTCTGAGCCCGCAGCTAGCTCAGCGGCTGCATGAGCCACGGCCAACGAGGCCTGACAGACTTCTAGGTCTTTCTCCTAAAATAAGATAAAGTGATATCAGCCACTAACGAAATTATCAGCAAAGACCAACATTTCATTATACAATGAATTTATTACAACGTACTCTGTGATTAGTGGTTGCCTATAAACTCTCTGAAATATCTAATAAGCTTAATTCTACACGTATTTGATTGGTTTTTTCACATGATCTATTAGAGGAAAGACTCATACATGACGTCATAATCCACAAATTTCACTTCTTTGTTATACAAAAAAATATATTCTATGTTGCGGTGGGTCTGTGTAGTACTAGATCACGCACGTGGTTAACATGCGGTAAGAACATCAGTGACATACTCAGCTGCGCCTAATGTGCCAGTCTTACGTTCTTAACCTTTTAACTCCCAGATCAAATTTGTAATTCTCCCTACCGTCAACCATACAATTCTTATAATGGTAGTTCAAAGAATTTAGTATCGGATCAATTAATTATCCCCAAATTGATATTTTTCTTTGTTCTCATCACTTATCTGGTTGATATTGTATTGATATTGTGAGGAGAAATTCTTTCTTGGTCACTCATGGGAGTTTAAGAGTTAACACAGTTTGACGTCAGCTGTGATAAATTACGGAACAGACGTACATTAACACAGAACCTCTATATCAAAAGATTCAACATCGCGAACGGATTGTTTATTCCATCATAACGCACAGTTTAAAACTGATTTGACAGTTGTAAGTATTGGGAAAGCAGAGGCTTCGAACAAAGTTCGGCATGAAAGGAAGAGGAAAAACCAAGAGGAAATGTCTTCGTCGGATAAAGGAACACAGAAGTTGTATTTCACACAAGGATACAAGTATTTACCATTAAAAGAAACTATCAGAAAAGAGCTAGCAAGCAGAATTGACAGCTTGATCTTAAGGTTGCACTTACCAACTTTCCTATTTTTTCATCTTTCGTTTTGACATCCTCCTGTAGCGAGTCTCTACTTAGTTGAAGATCACTGACTTGATTTCTAAGATTTGTTAATTCCACATTTTCAGTGAAGAATGATTCAGTCACGCCCGAAGACTGGGGCTGAAAAGCTGCGCAATATAAACCAGAAAATATGGACATTATCTCCACGAATGGAAAAGAAAAAGAAACGAGAAAGTGGAAAAGTGAAAAGAGATTTCTTCTTACTCTGAGCCACAAGGAGTTGTTCACGAAGCTCCTGGATCTCCTGAGACTGTTGTTGAATCTGTGCTTGTGCCTGTCAGAGAGAAGACAGCGTTGACAACTTGCACTTTTATCAAGTAATTTCTCTCCCCTTAAGCCTACTCTAATGTACAAACAATGGGCTGGCATTTGTACTAACAAAAGAATTTGCTTCTCTTACAAACTCTTGATAGCTTGACCGTGAGTTAAAGAGTCACTCAAGATGCAACATATCCCTGCAAGCCTTGCGGGTTGCCCGAAAAAAAAAACGACCCAAGGACTGAAGAAGTCGTGGTATTTCACCTGGTTGTAAGACGACTCCATGTCACCGTATCTTGATTTCAGTTTTCCGATTTCTTCATCCTGCAGATAAAAAAAGAAGCTTTTCAACCTACAACTATAAAAAGGTAATATAGAAAAAATATTTCAGTGAGTTCAGTGTTCAAGAGCACATCACAGTGACCCTAGCTGGAGCTGGAATCTGGCTTTCTTTATTTGGCGACCAAGGCGCTAAGAGGCCATTTTACAGTTGTGAACTTAGGTGTCAAGCCTTTGATTTGGAGTGAAGCTGAAGGTGACCTTGTCGTGAGAGAGATCAGTATCTAGTTAGCATGATAACAAGGTAATTTACATTTGAAAAACAGCAGCACTTGTATCTTAACAAGGTAACCCTTAGCCTAACTCCTGTTCAAAGGCTTTGCAACCAAGCACGTAACTTGAAAATGGACTATTACTAAGTCACCAACTCTCCGACCCTCCAACACACAGAGAACGTTGAACTATCCGGACTGATTGAGGGTCACGTGACACTCACCTGTTCTCTAATAAGTTCTTTGTACGATGATATGATCGAGTCATGGTTCTCCATTCCCTGTGAGGGTTTCCCGTTCACGTGGTTCGCTAGTTGCTGGTGTGAAGGTTCCTCTTCGATAGCTTTAGTCACAGCAGCTTCAAGGGAAAAAGGAGCAAAGGCTTAAATCAACATCATCGTAGCAAAAAAAAAAAAAGGTAAGATAAGAAATGATCAATATTAGTGAAGGAAAGACAAATTAGCCACAAGTTCTTGTGAAAAAGCCAGTGCAGTTAACTTCAGATGAGAATGTTCAAGTTAGTTTCAAGGAGTCTGCTTTTACTAATTTTTGCCAAAAACTTAACTTTGAGGCTTTGCTGAAAATACATCATAAAAGTTTTAAGGTCATACCAGTCAGAGTTAATTGAGAAAAATTGGTTACCAAAGCCAGCGAAACAAAGGTGCTGCAGGTGTATATTGGGAGCACCCTGGACGTGCACAATACTCTCATCTCTCGTATGACAGTGACTGAACTGCTATGAGACTTACGATTACGCACGATTACGTCCAAAAAACTTGCGGAAACATATGGTAGAGAAATCTATCTATTTTCTAGCCAAATTTCAAAGTAAATAAAAAACATTTTCTACATGTAGGTGTTGCATATTATACAATTATCATAGTCCGGAATAAAAGGATGGGGGATGGGGTAATTTTGGCGGGTGAGTGCTCAGTATTTTCTTGGCGAAAATTATAGCCGCCTTCTTTGATTTTAATGGCA